TTCCTTCCTTCCTTCCTTCCTTCCTTCCTTCCTTCCTTCCTTCCTTCTTTCTCTTTCTTTCTCCTTCCCTCCCTCCTTTTTTTCTTTCTTTCCTTCCTTCCTCCATCCTTTCTTTCTTTTTCCCTCCCTCCATCCCTTCTCCCTCCATCCTTTTCTTCCTTTCTTCCTTCCTCCTTCCTCTCTCTCCCTCCCTCCCTCCCTCCCTCCCTTTCTTTCTTTCTCTCTCTCTCTCTCTTTCTTTCTTTCTCTTCCTTCCTCTTTCTGTCTTTTTCTTCCTCTTTCTTTCTTTCTTTCTTTCTCTTCCTTCCTCTTTCTCTCTTTTTCTTCCTCTTTCTTTCTTTCTTTCTTTCTTTCTCTTCCTTCCTCTTTCTCTCTTTTTCTTCTTTCTTTCTTTCTTTCTTTCTTTCTTTCTTTCTTTCTTTCTTTCTTTCTTTCTTTCTTTCTTTTGTTCTCTTCCTCTTTCTTTCTTTTTCTTCTTCCTTCCTTCCTTCCTTCCTTCCTTCCTTCCTTCCTTCCTTCCTTCCTTCCTTCTGTTCCAGCTGGCTGGAAAAGAATGGTTGATTTTTAGCAGCCCCACCCCACCCCTCCAAAATGGTTATCTCCATCCTCATTGCCTCAACCCGCATTGCAAATGGGAAACCTCTAAATGCCACCAGAGGGTGGAAGTTGAACTGGAGGCTAGTTCAGGGGTTCCTTTTTAAGAAATCCAAGAGGGTCACTCTCTGGGAAAGCAGGTAGGTTTTTGGCCAAGAAGACATAAGAGGGTGTTTTAAGTTATTTCATAGTTTGCACCTAGGCACTTGCAAGCTGCAGGTGAAGCCTGATGAATTTGCAACTGAGAAACGACCGAGACAAAGAGCCTTTGTGGAGGACTTACAAATGAATTAGGAGCGCAACTGTTCTTCTCGTCCTCTGCACCGGCAAAATCCTCGAAAGCAAAAACATTTGGCTCCGATTAGCTCTGCCTAATCGGAGCAGCAGCTTATGGAGATGATATGCGCTTAAATCCAAACCTTTTGATTTTTCACCAGGGTTGGGGATTAAGTCAACTTTTTGCAGAAGTGTGGTGGGCTTTTGTTTTTTAAAACAGATGCTGCAAGGGTTGTGAGTGTGAAACTGATCAAAAGTCACTTTTTGACAGTCACTAAACGAATGGCTGTATGTTGAGGACTACCTGTATGGTGGTTGCATTTTCTGGTTTCCTTTCTGCAAAGGGCATTTAACGTTGTCCATTCTCTGCCTATTTCTTTTCTTCTTCCAAAGCGTAGTAGTTTACCACCGTGTGCCACTACAGGATAGTTTGTGACTAAGCTCTGTAGTGTAGCTTCCTCCTCTCTTTCCAAAGACCTCAGTTGGCCAAGCAGCAACGGGAATCCCAGCCCCTAACCACTATCCCATGCTGCTGTTTGCATCCCAACAGCTGCACCTGTTGCCCACTTGGTGTCGGTCCAGCCCAGCCCGAAGACTCCTTGCCCATTCACCCTGTTTTGATTTCTGCAGTCTCTCGCATCAACGGACACCCGAAACTTGACCGACTCTGGGAGCCTCCGCCCGGTTATGATAGCTCCTCCACTGTGATGAGCAGCGAACTTGAATCCAGCAGCTTTGTGGACTCGGACAATGAAGAAAACACCAGCAGGTAAGGAAGTCCTTATCCAACCCCATGTGATGACCCAAAGGCAAGACAGTCAAATACGCAAGAAGACTCCCTTTATTATCTCCAACTTTGCCACTAATGTCCAGGTTACCTTTGGCTGGAGAAAAATGAAGGGAATCAGGGCCCTTTCCTACCCCGTAAGCCATGCAACTCATGTTGCTCCCTTCTCCGCTCCTCCGCTGCATACCCTGGGATGAAGAGGGGGTGGTCCTTGGTCTTCCTCTGAATTCCCTCTCCCTTGCTCTCCCTCTCCCCTGCTCTGCCCAGCCCGACTGTGCCCTTCCCCAGTTTCTTCCACAGCCAACAGAGCCACACTTCCACTCTCTGGCCGCTGCTTGGCCTCCCCCTCCGAATTAGATTCTGACAGGGGCATGACACCCTGCAACACTTTTCAGGAGCATTTCTCAGACCTCCACGTGCCATAGGTTCGCTATCACGGGCATATGCGTTGAATAAATAAATTAATTAAAAAAATAAAAACAAACCCCTCCCTTTTTTACCTCCCTAACCCCCCCAAACTCAGAAACTGTGAGCATGGGAGCTTTTCCTTTCTGAGCTGGCATGTGTCTTAAACTGCCAGCCAGGCAGAGCAAGAGAATGGAATGTGCCCAGGTATGTTCCTCCATATTACAGAGATGATTTTCATAAGGCCGTGAGACGTTCCAGCAGGAGGGGAGCGATGAGGAGGGGGCTGCGCTCAGTGGGGGAGACAAGGATGCTTTTGTCCAGGGCTGCGAAAGGGACATTTTCAGTGGGTATTGGGTAGGCCTATTGTGCCAGCTGGGGGTGGGCGGGTTCAAAGCTGGTTCTCTTAAAATCAGGAGCAATGTTTTGGTTCTGCTTGCATGTGAGTATTGGACTCTTTCTTTCTTTCTTTCTTTCTTTCTTTCTTTCTTTCTTTCTTTCTTTCTTTCTTTCTTTCTTTCCTTCCTTCCTTCCTTCCTTCCTTCCTTCCTTCCTTCCTTCCTTCCTTCCTTCCTTCCTTGCTTCCTTCTTTCTCTTTCTTTCTCCTTCCCTCCCTCCCTCCCTCCTTTTTTTCTTTCTTTCCTTCCTTCCTCCCTCCTTTCTTTCTTTTTCCCTCCCTCCCTCCCTTCTCCCTCCATCCTTTTCTTCCTTTCTTCCTTCCTCCTTCCTCTCCCTCCCTCCCTCCTTTCTCTTTCTTTCTTTCTTTCTTTCTTTCTCTTGATCTCTCTTATGTGTCTGTCTCCTTTTTATTCAAAGAAATGTTCCTTTCTGTTATCTTCAATTTATCGGGTTCAACTTTGGATAAGGGCTGCCAACTGTCTGTGTCTCTTATTTTTTTTAATTCACGAAGAGCTTGACCAGGGTGCTTCTAGGCATGTGAGGTGTTCTCACCTGGGACTGTAGGGAAAGAGGCTGAAATTAGAAAGATACTAACACTAATCCTGAGTTTCCTTGACCTTTGTCTCCCATTATTTGTTTGGTGAAACATTGCCTCCTTAGATCGAGCAAAACTTCAGCACCAATTTAGCAGAACTTCTGAGTCCATTTCCCAGATTGATTTGGAAATTTGAATGGAGTCAAATTGCCTCTTAACCAATTTGATTACAGAGAAAGGCTTTTGTGTATGCAAAATCTTGCTTTCTCTCAAGAACGGTTTGGAAAATCAAACAGGCCCAGTATTTTGGATTTAAGATTCCAAGTGACTCCATCCAGCGGATTGATAACGTGAAGACCTGAGAGTTATTTTTCCACTAGGTAGCTCAAGCGCAGGACGAGAGTAGATCTGACCCAATTGTTTCTCCTGGGCGAAAAGAACTGCTAAAGTGTTTGAATATTAAATCTGTAACTAGGGCTTGTTCTTTACACACAGAATTCTTTCCATATGGCTTCCTGACTTTAGTCAAAACAACTAATCATAAATTCTTCAGTTCATGGGAGGTGGCTGGATTAGTTCCAGACTGACCTGCCTGTTGAAGCCTAACAGAATTGAATTAAATTAATGATTTGGAGCTGATCCAGATTCCTCCATATTCTCTCTCTGTCTGTCTCTTTGTCTGTCTGTCTGTCTCTCTCTCTCTCTCTCTCTCTCTCTGTGTGTCTCTGTGTGTATCTGTTTTTCTCTCTCTCTCTCTGTCTCTCTCTCTCTCTGTCCATTAATTTCTATCTCTACAAAACCTGGTATCCCACCATCAGTTTCTTCCTCTTGCAGCCCAGAAGCAGCAGCCATCCAAGAACCGAAGTGGCTGAGCTGTGCTCTGCTTTCTCCAATCCGGCCCTCTTTTCTTCTCCTTCCAGGCTGAGTAGCTCCACGGAGCAGAGCACGTCGTCCCGTCTGATTCGCAAGCACAAGCGTCGGCGAAGGAAACAGAAAATGCGACAGATCGACCGGGTGAGAGGCCGGAATGCAGCGCTTGTCAATCTACGTTAAAAATGTCCCAGAAGTTCCCCTTTCTGGATCAGGCTGATATTCCCCTCTGACATAGATCAGAGATGGCTTCAGTGAGGGATGGCAAAGATACAGGAAGAATGGCCCTTTTTGGTTGGCCTTAACAGAAGGCACTGTGGCATCTGGTTCCTCCTCTTCCTCATTTGAAGACGCCAGTCTCTCGGCCTTCCACAGAGGGGTCAAAACGTGTTTTTGTGGCCTTGTATGGGGGCCCCAGAGGGCCTCGCAACTGTGGGGCTGGCTAGTCCCTTGGGAGCCTCGCCTCGCCTGTAATAATCCAACGCTAAATGGCCATCTTAGGCTCCCCCACCATTTTGATGTTGAATTGTTCTATAATTTTGCAATGTTTAACCCCGATTTAATTTTTAATTTCTAACGTTTATATGTCATTTTATGTACCAATTACATTATATTACGCACTGCCCAGAGCCCCTCTTTGAGGGAGATAGGCGGTTCAGAAATATGAAATGTCATAAATAAATTCATTTGTGGCAAGCAGCCGGTGCTCACCGCTGGCGAATGGCAGGCACTCCCAGACAGATGTTTTGTAGCTGCTCTGGCCCCCAATAGTCGGAAGCCACATTGACTCTCTCTCTCTCTCTCTCTCCTGTTGTCTTCCAGTCTTCCTCCTTCAGCAGCATCACCGATTCCACCATGTCCCTCAACATCATCACGGTCACCCTCAACATGGGTAAGCCCCACCGGCTATACTGGGAAAGATTTGTGGGTGTTGAACTCTTGAGAGTGAGAAAAAAATGACAACTAACCGGTGCCAAATCAACATTGGACAACTGCCGTCTTTGGCTCTGGTTTGGAGGTCATAACCGCACAGAAAGCAGGGAAAATCTGCTTTAACGGTCCCCATGTACTATATTGCTGTTCTCTTTCTTGACGTCAGAAAAATACAATTTTCTGGGAATCAGCATCGTAGGACAGAGCAACGACAGGGGCGACGGCGGCATTTACATCGGCTCCATCATGAAGGGCGGGGCAGTGGCGGCGGATGGACGAATTGAGCCAGGCGACATGCTTTTGCAGGTTGGTTGAGAAGCTGGCAGCAGAGGCGCCTTCTTAACCGGGCCTCAGTTTCCTTCCTTGGCCCGTCCGCTTTCTCGCTTAAATTTTAAAAGGGCTGCTTCCCTAAGTTCCCCATCAGCCAGCATCCCTGAGCGTCAACTCATAAAATATTTCTATGGTCTTTTTAGAGTTGCCAACAGAAAGGGAGGGGGGGAAAAGGGTTTGAAAGAGCAGCGTAGCAGCTCGGAAATTGAAAGTGCATTCTATACATTGTTTTTCAAAGATAGTAACTAGGTGATTGAAGTTTCTGCCATGCACAGTTTTAACTGGAGAACATGATGGATGACTCTTGGCTACGGATGCATCCCATTGGAGAATATGAATTATGATATACCCAGAGGGGTGGGGGAAAACTAGGGTCAAGGGTGACGGTGAATGATGTGTCTCAGAATCGGCTACACCCAGGCAGTGCCGGACATGTTAACTCCCAATAAATCCTTTTGAAGTTTTGGAAGTTTGGCTCGAGACTCATGATTTCATGGGGGGTAACTGCCGGAATCCTGACACTGAGGATGATGGTCAGTGTCACCCAAAGAAAATAGCATTAGGGAAGGGTTGGTCTGCGCCCTCGCTGATCCGTGCTCTTGATATGTTGCAGGTGAATGAAGTAAACTTCGAGAACATGAGCAATGACGATGCCGTGCGGGTTTTACGGGAAATAGTCTCCAAGCCTGGGTGAGTCAGGGAATGTGGGAATACTATCCAAGCCGTGCTGCTTTTTTTCTTAACGAAAATAAAATTTAGGCCTCAAGCGGGAGGGAAGCCAGTGGCTCAGTGGCTAAGACGCTGAGCTTGTCGATCAGAAAGGTCGGCAGTTCGGCGGTTCGAATCCCTAGCGGCGCGGAAGGGAGTGAGCTCCCGTTCCTTGTCCCAGCGGCTTCTGCCAACCTAGCAGTTTGAAAGCATGTAAAAAAAAAAAATGCAAGTAGAAAAATGGGGACCCCTTTGTTGGGAAGGGAATGCTGTCGTGCGTTCGTGCGCCTTCAGCATTTAGTCCTGCTGGCCACATGACCCCGGAGACGTCTTCGGACAGCGCTGGCTCTTCGACTTTGCGACGGAGATGAGCAGCGCCCCCTAGAAATGACTACCACGTGTGTGTGAGGGGAACCTTTACCTTTGTTTCTCTCAAATAAAATATCCCTTTAAAACAGAGGGACACAGCATGGCCTTCCGGGTGGAATTGTAGTTTCAGAGTCCTTGATCATGGTCTACATTGGTAGATGTTTTTGTGAACCATTGGAAGGATATAAATTCTCCATTTCTATGTTGGAGCCAGCCCTGTGGGTCCCCTGAGGCCATCCTGTGTTTTGACTTGAGAGGAAATGCTGGTCTTTGATTCTTCTCTAGTCCAGCCCCCTGTTTCAGTTTAGGCCACACCGTGATTTGCTTGTGGTTTGAGATTTATACCTAGCCAAGACCCATTTCGGTCATGTGAATTACTTCCTAGCCAGAAGAAGAGAAACCGGGAATCTACTTTTAACAATCTCTTGATCACTAGAAATGACATACAAGCGAGTACGTGGGAACCTGTCGTACAGGTGAGTGGATAGCAGGAAAGAAACAGCCTGTTCTTTGCCCAGGGTAAATGTTCAAGGGACAAAGAGAAAAAAAGAGCTAAGGAAACAGTTGTGACTCTATTCCAGGGGTGAGCAACTATGGGCCCTGTACGGCCTGTGGACTTCAACTCCCCTACTTCCGGAGCCAGCAGGATTTCTGTGACTTGAAGTCCACAAGTCATAAAGGAGCCATGGCTGCCCACCATCCCTGTTCCATACCATCAGCCTGGTGGGTTATTTTTTCAGATCAATCACTTAATGAGCCCATTTGAAGGACCGAAGCCGATTTCTCTTTTGCCTTAATTTGTTTTTTCTTTCGGTTTTCTTTTCCCAGACCCATCAGCTTAACAGTGGCCAAATGCTGGGACCCTACGCCCAGGAGTTACTTCACAATCCCTAGAGGTGAGTGTCCGCTCCTTGCTACAGTTTTCGGCATGAAGGAATATCAAGTTTTTTAGTCAGCACCCTTCTGCATTTGGTAAAGATTGCAAAGAGCAATGCTTCATATTCTTATCTCCTGTAGCCAAGAGGGGCGGCATATGCATTTAATAAATGATAAATATTTGGGAGTGCCTTACTCTGTTATCAAATCTTCTCAGTTTTTTTTATAGGAATGTGATGGTGGTGAGGTATGTCTTAGTTTTGCTATATTGTAAATACAGACCTTCTATAGAGAACCAGGGTAAAACGTTTCGAAGTCCCCCGGATGCTTAATGAATTGTGTGGTTTGGGTAATCAGAAGTAATATGCAGGGACGGAATTCTATCAGTATTCTCCCTGTGAAGGAGATGGGAGGTTCAAAAACGCTTAAGAATGAATGAATGAATGAATGAATGAAGTGAATGAATGAATGAATGAATGAATGAAGTGAATGAATGAATGAATGAATGAATGAACAAGCTGTGGCAGTGGAGGAAAACTATGCCAGAGGAAAAAAAATCGATTTTTAATAGCTTACTATAATGCAGCTATATGGTAGAACATAGCCCAACTTGGCTGATAAGGGGTTTTGTCCAGTTAGTTCTGGAGGAACTAACTAGGAAAGCTCAAGACAAATAGGCAAAACCTGGGGAAGTCAGAAAACATTCCCGATCTGATCAAGAGCAAATGGCTCCTGCATTGTGGCTGCAAAGTTACTAAGGGCTGAGCTTGATTGAAACAATCAATACTTGCTTGAAAAAGTTGGCATTCTGTGTTTTTGGGCTGGCTGTAGAGAAGGGGATTTTTCGCACTGTTCTTCCACGATGAGGTTAGAAGCGCATGTGTCAACTCAAAAAATGTTTATCTAGTCTTTCCGAGTTGACAGCAGAAAGGGAGTGAGAGAAGTAGTGCATTCCGTAAATGCTTCGTAGATAATGGCTAGGCGGCCGAAGCTTCTGGCGCACAAGATTATTACTAGAAAGCATGATTAGTGACTCTTGGCTATGGATGTGTCCCATTGGAGAATATACATCCAGGGGGCGGGGGGGGGAAGACCAGGGTCAAGGGGGGAAAAAGAATGATGTGTCTCAGAGTTGCCTGCACCCAGGTAGTGCCGGCATGGTCACTCCTAATAAATCTTGTTGTTGTTGTTTTTTTAACTCTGAGAGATGCGGCCAGAGACTCGTGATTTGAATGGGGGTGAATGCCGGGACTTATGAACATTTCGCACGGCCTCTTTAACTTGGTTCAAAACATTATTTTTCCCACCCCGAGGTTGAACGAAACCGAACTAACGTTTGGCTGACTGCTTTGGTTTTTTTTTTGTCTTTTTCCCTCCTCCTCCTCCTCCCTCCTTCCTCTCGTGATCCAGCTGAGCCGGTGCGGCCGATCGACCCCGCGGCCTGGATTTCTCATACCACGGCTTTGACGGGAGCGTACCCCCGTTACGGTATGAGTCCTTCCATGAGCATCATCACTTCTACCAGCTCCTCACTAACAAGCTCAATTCCCGATTCGGAAAGTAAGTCGCCCTGCCGCCAGGACCAGGCAGGTTTCCTTCCTGCGCAGGGCTGGCAGAGTAGAGATAAAAAGAGACAGTGCCCCACCCCGTCACCTCCCCATTGGCCCGCAAACCTTCACCCTCCCCCCAAATTAAAATGATTTCTGGCCCTTTTTAAGAGAACAGCCCTAAAAGAATACCGGTTCTTCCTTGCCAGGAGTCTGTTCCCAACAATCGCTAGTCCAGATGCTTTTAGTGCACTCTAGGATTAAAGGGCCTGTCTGAAAGTTCCCATCCAGAGCAAATCCCATGAAGCCCTTTGGTCAGAGGGGGGGCTTAAGAGGTCTTCTAGTCCAACCCAGTGTAACTCTGACGCTCTCCAGCCTTCGTTTCAAAAGCCTCCTGCTCCAAGAGGCTGCGACGGCAAAGACTTGTTTCTGGCGGAGTTTGGGCGAGAGAAAGAAAGACTTCTGCTGCTTCTGCTGTTTTTCTTGCATGAAGCCAAAAGTCTCTCTCTCTCCCCCCATGAGAACGGAGCTGGAGACGGCATCCTGCGATCCCAAATAAAGAATGATCAATCGGTAGGAAAACGGGGTGGGGAATTTTCCTGCAGACTTTTTTGGGGGGGATTTTCCCAGGGTCTCTGGTCCACGGGATTTAAAATTTATGAGTTTGGTGGTCCCTGAGGTCCAAAAGGTTGGCGACCCCTGGTATAGGGTCTCCTGCTTGAGCAGGGGGTCAGACTAGAAGACCTTTAAAGTCCCTTCCAACCCTGTCATTCTGTTAAACGGAAATAAAACAAGACTGAGAATGATGGCAGTCAGCCGGGCCACCCACCTCCCTTTCCGACGGGAACACTGCAAAGCCAAAAAAAAACACCCACACCGCTTTTTTTTTTGCTACTAACCAAAACTGCCTCCCATCAGTTAATGCCCTCCAGTCAAGGCTTGGTTGCATCCAGATGCCAGGAGCCTCGAGGGGGTGCAAAATGGCATGAAGGGCTGGATGCTACGGCACGTGTCTTGCGCGGCATCGCCTGAGCACAACTGAACGTTCCCCTTGTGTCTTCATTTTGTGCTGCGATATTCTTATGGCTGGTTGCGTAGTTAGCCAGATGTGTAAACTGGATTTGGCCTTTTGATCCACCGACCAGGTCTATCCCGAGGATGATGGATGATTATTTATAATTTCTGAGCACAGGGCACAAGAAAAAGGCCTAGGAAAAGAAATTCCCACCTAAGGAAAAGGATTCGACCCATCTTTTTCCAACTTTCCGCAAAATCATTCAAGTCTCTCTTCCATCCCTTCCCAGTTTTAATGTTTTCAGGATTTACACATCAAGCCCTTAGCCGATGGTAAAGTTCAACATTTTTTCCTGCAACGTTCAGGATTGGATCAAAATTAAAACTTGGTTGGAGAGCCAGAAACAGACAGGTAGCAAAATTTAATTTAGTTTAGTTTATTGTCATTGCGCCTCGTATAACAAAATTAAATGCCACCTGCAGTGTACATTAGAACTATAAAAGTAAAAACACAAACACACCTTCGCGTTGCATACAATTGAATTTGAAAACCCCAGACATTGCATTAATATTGCGCTATACAGCAGAATTCAACAGAGTTACTGCCTTGGGATAGAAGCTGTTTTTCAACCTATGAAAAAAAATGCCAGCTCGCAGTCGGTGGTAGGGCATTTGAAAGGCTGAATAAGACTCCAGGACTTCTATTAGCCCTGTAAACTGCCATTTTTGCCTCAGCTGTTGCTCCTTGGTACATTTTGCTCAGACCACGGACTTCTGCGTCAAAGTTTTGTTAAAATTTTCACTCTTAGAAAACAGCAAACTCACGCAGGATGCATATTTTGCTGAAGAGAAGTCCTTTAGAAGAGGATATATGTAGCTCAGGGCCCTCTCGGAGCTTGCAGACGTTTCATTACCCAACTAGATAACACCATCAGCGTTAGAAGGGGAGAGAGAGAGAAAACCCCAGTTCCTTGTTAACACTGATGACGTTACCTAGTGGGGTAATGAAACGTCGGCAAGAAAACCACCAAGCTCAGAGAGCACCAAGGACCCCAATAAGCCCCTTAATCTATTTAATTAGGCTCTCACCAAAGAACTTGCTGGTGGATACAAGCTAGCAAAACCTGGTAATTATGGGCACACGCGCGTGTGCACACACACACACACACCAAGGCAGAAATCCCACCCCCCCCCATTCTCAGGACAGGCTCCCCCTGTGTGAGGTTGCTTTCTTTCCCTCTGCCTTGCTCTTCTTCGCCTCTCCTGACAGCGCTCCTTCCGCAGAATCAGCATCTCCGATCTCTCTTCCCCTTTCAGAACTGGATGAGACTCCTTTGACGGTGAAAACCGACATGGCCACCATTGTCAAAGTGATGCAGTTGCCAGATTCCGGGCTGGAAATTCGAGACAGGATGTGGTTAAAAATCACCATCTCCAACGCAGTGATTGGTAAGCTCTTCCCAGCCCGAATCGAATTTCTCCCTAGATTTTCTTACTTTTAACGGCGGCAATGAGGAACCTGGCAAAATGTTGGCCAAACTCAGCAACTTCCCGTCAAAAGAGTGGCTCAGGATTTTCTCCCTGATTAATCCAGAATGACCCTGAGCATCCGTTGGGATTCACAAAGAAAGTGTCACTGAAGGATGAGTAGAGGATAACTCAAGCTGTACCTCAGCAGTGGTCAGAATATCTTACTTTGAGTAGCAACTTACAGGTGGTCCTTGTCTTACAATCACAATGGAGCACATGTCTGTTGCTAAGTAAGACAGGTGTCAAGTGAGTTGGGCCTCTTTTTAGGACCCATTTTGCACAGTTGTTAAGCGAATCACCACAGTTAAGTGAATCCTGCCGTCATTAAGTGAATCTGGCTCCCCCCCCCCACTGACTTTGTATCTATGTATCTAAGTATCTCTCAAAACATAGAGATGATAGATAGATAGATAGATAGATAGATAGATAGATAGATAGATAGATAGATA